TAAATCATAGCTCCTAGCGTCAATCAAAATATGTTAATGTACTTGTATTAAACGGTTTCGTAAATCGTTCTATAAGTAGTTGCATAACAATCTTATTTATGTATTAATGGTCTAATATAAATATAGATGTGGCCCGCCTAGATTAGCCCAGGTTACCTGCTGGTTTACGCTGTTGCTATTGTCAAGCTTTTTTAACTTAATGTTTATATATTTCTGTAAAATTGTAAATATGCGAGTCATAATAAAGTTGTTGTTGTTGTTGTTGTTGTTACATTGGGCAACGTCTCGTTAAACTTGTCTCGCAACTGTGCAATAAAATTGCAAAGAACGTGAATCCAAGAAAAACGGCGTCGTTTGGAAATTAATGTTGTTACATTTATCTTACCTGATTGTAAGGCTACTGGGAGACTTTCCTTTGACACAATGAGCAGCAGACACTACCCACTGAGGTGCTATTAGTGAGCCACCACAGAATGAGAACCCAGACGTTGTTCGAAGTATTGCCTGCCAAGGCCAACTGCTATTCATAGCCTTAGTTCCATCGATAACGCCAACACTGGGCTTCTCTCCGCAATTACCTTGATGTAAAGGTCAAACCATTTAGCTGATAACTTATTATAAGTAGCCAGTTTTGGTGGCCTTGAGATATCTAAGTTTGGTTTTCAGTTATTCCGTCTTCAAACAATGACAACGAGAACAATAACAACAACGACTACAATAATGATTACAATTACAATTACGACAATAACAGCAACAACAACAATTTCAACAGCAATTATCACCCCAAAGGAACGCACCCTTAATTTCGTACTAGGGAGCTGGTATGACCAGTTGGTTTTTTTGTTAGTCAGTCCCCATTTTGCTGGTTGCAACTTATATAAACTTTAAGATAATAGCGGTATGGTGACCCAAACAAGTTAGTCCATTGCTTATAACTACTTACCTGAGGAAGGACGTTGTGTTGGGTTTACTGGCGGAGGTGGAGTGATTCCACGTCTATCTCTACATGAACCCCCAGTTAAAGAGAAATCATCAATAGCAATGTCGCCCCTCCAGCTGGTTCCACGAATTCCTTCGAATTCAATCTAAAAAAAATTGATGAAAAAATTAATATTATGCAACTTTTATTTTCAATTTTCTCCTTGCGCATGGATAGAAATGGTGCTGAATTATGCAAAGCACTATTCTGTTTAAATTGCGTTCACGCTGTTTGCGTCCTTGGTACATACCCTTACCGTTAAACCTTACAAAATTACAAGCTGTATATATGGTTTTATATCTTACTTACTTCAAGTCATAGAAGGACAAAAAAATATATGTATCATCAGAATTATCGCATTTCTTTAACCTAGTTCATTTAATAGATGGCTGATGTTAAATAGTACCCTCGCATTGCCACTTGCTGCAAATCAAACATAGCATAGCTACACTATTTTCGAAAACATATCATGGGCCAACAGTTAAGGGCTTGTAAAGTGGCTGGGTATAATGTATCTTATCAATTATATATCTCCTTAAATTAAAAGTTATAACCGGTCAGATTATAACTGGCCAACCTTTCTCTTTTAACTAACTTTAAGCCTATGCGTACTAAGTGTTTTGAGATTCAGAAATGTCTTAATGAAGTAAAGAGTTTAATATATACGAACATTTCCACGTCCATTGATCGACACTTCAGCTTTCTTCCATTGATTTCCCTGAGGCCCGCTCTTCTGGAAAACGTTTGTACCTCCAAGGTTGACGTTGAGTTGATTGACATTCTTACCATACATGTGATAATAGAAGGATAGACAAGCCGGCCCGCCTGTATATCCATTGAAAATGACAACAGCCTTGTCATCGGGCTTGCGTGGAGATGATGTCTCGATGTAAATATATTTACCTTTGATGAAAAAAGAACAATGAAATGTATATTTATTTTTGTTGTTTTCATTTTATTGTTACGACACACTTTCTAGAGACCATGATATTTTCCCTCACATACTCGTGGTCATTTATTAAACCATATGGAGAGTTTAATTTAAGAGTGAAATTTTCGACAAATTGCAAACGACACAACTGTTTTACCAGACTCTCTTATCATTCATCCTCTCTTTCAAAGGATAACAACAAATCCGAAGCTCTACAGGATATCTAAATATAGCTTACCGGAACCCGAATGGTCAGCTGAAGGTCCTGTATCACGTGAAGGTGTTTTCCCACTTTGAACCGTCCAGTCAAATCTATCTGAGGTGGCCTGGGACCATCCAGAACAAAGACCGCTGTCGAAAGTACATTTCACCGGTGTGCCTGTGTCACAAGAAAAAATAAAAATGAATCCACCAGAAGATCGAGTAATAAGAGGAATAAAAATTGCACCGCGATTATAAACACAGTTGGCAAATGTCTGAGCGACTGTTTCAAATATCTTCTCAAGTGTGGAAAACAAATTTTGAAGTTCATGTGAAAAACACTTGAAAGTAATTGGTGAAACGCCAACTGACGATGAAATTTTACCCGTGTTTGCACAATTTCTCTGAGCTTTCAAATTTATTTTCCCGAGTTCCCTTGGGAAATTGTTTTCGGTGGTTATTATAGGCAACTTCCGAGGCAACTTTATTTGTATTTAGAAATTGTCGGCCGCTCTCACGCCTCTTGCATTAATTTGCAATTAGCCCCAGCCATATAACAGAACACTTATGGGGGTCATACCTTCAAAATATATCTCTTAAAGAAACTCTGTGGGACAATTTTGGCACAAGTTCAAGGAGTCCGCGGTCTGACTTCAAAAATGAACTTTTCCAGGTTACGTGTCACAATAGCTAATGAATAACAACTCGCTAAGTGTTAAAGAGTGGTGTTCATTGTAAACACTATAACTTACTAATGAATGGTTCGAGATGTATGGAATAAAGTTCAGCCTGACGATAAGTGCGTTGTCCAGGTGACAAAGAAAACCTCAGGAGACGATGTTTTTAGGGGGTTTTTTCCCCGTAAAAATGGTGAAAACGTTTACTTATGTTACGTAATATTAACTATATTAACCGACTAACAAGGAAACCATTTCAAAAATTGAAAATGTTTTTTGTTTATCTCCAAGATAATTGACAACATTTGTCAACATTTGGTTTAAACCCAGTGGAGATATAATGCTTGAAATATTGGTGATCTCAGAAGTGATTGGTGATTTGGTCTTTTTGAGAAATAAGGCTTTAAAGTCAGTCTACTTCGGTATCTGCGAGCACAATTTAGCCTTGTGAACTGAGAAGATGAATACCCGAATACACACCGGGGCGTAAAAGATGGTGGAGCAGGACGATGATGCAAACTTCGCATAAGCACACTTCTCTAAAGTTTTCCTGTAAAGCATAATTAAAGTGTATTGAATTGAATCCATTTTGGAAGTACTTTTAAACTGTAAACAACCATTTCTATGGGCAATGCTATGTTGAAATATAGCTACCAATGTAGAACGTAAATCAGTGAGTATCAGAGCAAAATGGTCAGAAATGTTGAATCTTCATGTTTCGGGAAAAAAATGTTTTTTTTTTTTTGAGAAACATCTCTATTTGAAGGTATGACACCACCTTAATTACTGGTCCCTACTTACCGGTACCTACTTACCTGAGGAAGGAGGAGTGATTCCACTTCCTCCTCTGCATGACCCCCCGGTTAAAGAAAACTTATCAATAGCAATGTCTCCTTTATAGCCTGATCCACGAATCCCTTCGAATTTAATCTAAAACGTAGATGAAAAAAAATAATATTATGTAACTTATTTTTATCATTTTCTCCCTGCGAATGCATAGTAATGGTGCTGATATCATATAAAGTGCGTTTCTGTTGAAATTACCTGCACGCTGTATGCGCATGTTATATAACTGTTAAACCTTACAAAATTACAAGACATATATCGTTTTTTTTTGTTACTTACTTATGTTACCATAGAAAGACAAAAATAGAATAATTATTGCATTTCTATAACCTAGTTCATGCAACAATTATATTTATAAGATACTTGATTTTGTTAATTAATATTATCCTGCCTTTGTCACTTGCCACAAATCGAACCGCATAGCATAGCTGCACTGTTTTCGAAAACATATATCATGGGCAAACAGTTAAAAGCGGTTACATATCTCCTAAAACTAAAAGTTATAGTTGTTCGGTCGTTTTACTCAGATCTTGACTGGCCACCCTCTCCCTTTCCATGAAATTTTCGCCAGTGCCTAATGAATATTTTCAAATTTAGAAATGTCTTAACGAAGTAAAGAGTAAAATATTTACGAACATCTCCACTTCCGTTGATCGAAAATTCAGCTTTTTTCCATTGATTTCCCTGAGACCCGCTCTTCTGGAAAACGTCTGTACTTCCAAGTTTCACGTTCAGTAGATTGATGTCCCGACCATACATATGATAAAAGAAGGATAGACAAGCCGGCCCTCCTGTATATCCGTTGAAAATGAGGACAGCCTTGTCATCGCCCTTGCGTGGAGATGATGTCTCGATGTAAATATATTTACCTTTGTGAAAAAAGAACAATAAAAATGTATATATATTTTTTTGCTAATTTTTCGTTATTATTGCAACGCACCTTCTCGAGACAATGATATTTGTCTTCATATAATATACTCTTGTCATTTATTAAAAAATTTTATATAGAGCGTTTTCTGATGTATTTACCTAAAAGAGCAAAGTTAAAAAAAAGTGAAATAATGATAACTTCTGTATCTACACCTTTAAATTGAAAATATGCCACTACGAAGCACTTACTATAGGCACACAGCGCCGCCAAGAGGAAAGGAAGCCACCTCGGTTAATTTGGATTTACTCATGCCTGGCCATTCAGCCAGTTCGTATAGTTGGATCTGTTTTAAGGTAGGCCGCCTTACGAAAGTATTTTTTGCCTAATTTCTCTCTTTTCTGGTGTTTTGTGTGTCTTTTATTCGTTATTTGGTGTTACATTGATGTTATTATCTCGGAGCACGCGCAAGAAAGCAATATAACACATTTATGAATTCCAAGGTTAACAGGAAGTACGAAAAAAATAGCTCTAAAATTAAACAACATAACTACTAACTACATAACAATTGTAACCTGGTCTTCCAACCCATCCTCCCCTTATTACGTTGAAGAACTCATACCAAATAGAGCGGATAAGGAGGCGCTGTAACGTGAATGTAAAACGTATTGACAAAGAAAACAACTTAGGCTAAGGCTCAAATCCGGGAGTATCAAGTTATAATTAGGAGCCAAAGCACTAATTATTGTCGGTCAACGCGCTTCTCGGCGGCAGCGTCAAGGTTTCGAACCTGGAAAGGGCCCAATATTGCACAACTTATATATGCAAAGGAAAGCAAATTTAACATTACTATCCACAATCTCAGCTCCTGAATATGGAAGGAAATAACTGCATTGCTTGCCTTTCAACTCACTTTAGAACCCTCTCTCCCCCCCCCCCCCCCGCCTCCTCCCCCACCTCCTAAAACAACAACTTCAAAAAAAGGATGTCAGGAACGGGTTTTTCGTCAGTGTTTAGCAGGCAAATTACCGTGTTCATCACTGAAGATCTAATGATTTCGGAGCATTCCGCCCGAAGAGTAACCTTGTGCATCTTGAAAAGATTACCCTAAGTTCTTCAAGTTCATCGACTGTACTCCGTGTTAATCATCTCCATTCTCAACTACTGCTGTTCCTTTGTGCGTTATTGTTATCTCTTTGGTGTTGTTGATTTATATTAGAAAACTACTATTTTAAGGTTTCCTTCAATTTAAAGGTAATTTTATATGGCCAAAATAACTCAAATTAAATGCCGTGACTGAGCTTCTTTTTAATCAATTCGTTATATTAGTTCGAATTCCTACCACAGGATCACTCATAAAAAGCCCTATAGAACGTTTTTCGTTTCATTCACAAAGAGTTGAGTCAACTCCCACAGGATTGGTTTGTTACATCAACATGGCGGCCGTTTCATTGTTTGGGAACACTAGTATGGCTTCCGTGATGTTATGTGAAGACGCTCTATTTTAGGCAGTTGCCGAACAACTTGACGAAAATACTATGGCTAAAAGATATATCAAATTTACTTTTCGTGTAAGAGCTTGGCTGCAAACAGCCAAAAACTAGCCAGAAATAAAACAATTATGACACTGAAAAATGATAGTCGCCGTTGAGTGAGGTATCATATATATGTCGACAGTTACCTGAACCCGAATGATCTGCAGAAGGTCCTGTTCCAGAAGAAGGAGTTCCTCCGGAACGAACTGTCCAATCAAAGTCGTCAGAACTGGACTGGGACCATCCGGAACACAGACCATTGTCAAAATTACAACTTGTCGCGGAGCCTTCAAAGTTTAAGAGAGATAACATGCCAACCACGTTAAGTCATGTATTATATGAGGTACCAGCGAGAGATAATGACTTGTTTTGTAATCTTTCGTTCACATTAACTCCGAAAAACTGCGCATCATTGGATTACACTTCATTCTTTGTTTCCCAACAAGGGCCATTCCGTCCTGGTTTCATAACCAATTTTTTTTATAGTTTATGACGCTCGCTTCATGTTAAAAAAAAAATGTTTTAATTATAATAATAATCTTCACAGTATCTTTGCACCTGAAAAATTGGCATGTCACAGTAACTTTGGATATGTCCTTTTATCAAGAAAGAATAGTTAAGAGATTTATAGGCCTCATTCCGAAGGTTTCTCCTAACATGATTTTTATTGCAAGTCATTTTAACCAATTCATCCGTGGATAATCTGACCGAGGGTGCTGCGTGGATGTTTCTTCTCGTACTGTCCACGTGATTAAAATTCGCGTGATAACAGGATTGGCTATTTCTAAACCATCCTGCTGGGATTTCCATCTACTGGAGTGATCTAATAAATTTAACTTGGGAGAGATTGCCTTGGGAATAAGGTCTGTATGCATATGGAGGACCAACTCTTTTTCCCTTTGTCTTCTCTTGTTCTTTTAGATTCTACCTGATGGATTGGTTGGAGGGGCTGCAGTTGTTCCTTTTTTAAAAAAAAATCATGAAATGAATAATAATAAAAAAAACTTTTAAAAACAAAAAAAAGAACATTTACATATAAAAATCGTCCAAAGCATTCTGAACAAAAACTCTAAAGATCTATAGGGTTTTTTAAAGAAACATATAGTTTATCAATAGCAATAATTCATTGGTTTAATCACATTGACAAACCCTTAAGGTTACTGCTTTCTCTTCGCTGTTGGCCGACCTAGATCGAGTCCACCAAGTGAGTTAGTCCCACTAGTGCTCAAGATAATCATTTTTTTTTATCATAATGCCGCAACACACAGTCTGTTCTGCATGTTCTGCCTAGTGTGAACGCAGTATAGGATCAATTCTCCCATGCACGAGCCTCTTCCAAAGATAGTTTGATAATGCCAATCCATCTAAAACATTTCCGAGAAGTGGCTAATTTAGCCTTATGTTCTTTGTACAAAAAAAAAACAAAAACAACAACAACAACAACTCAGATTCATTATTCTTTCGAACTTTTTCCTTTGTAGATATCATTAAGTCGTGTAGTATGGAATGTCCTTCTGTTGAGAGATGATTATTTTTCCAGTTACTTTATGCTATGCAAAATTGGCTATTTTTAACCCGTCCAGCTGAGATTTCAGACTACTGAAGTTATCAAAAGTTTACTTGAGAGGGATTGCCTTGGGAATAGGGTCTGTATGGAGGATAAACTATTTTTCCCTTTGTCTTGTCTCGTTCTTAGAAATTTTACCTGACGGATTGGTTGGAGGGGCTGCAGTTGTTGCTGGCCAAAAAAAAAAAATAAATAAATAAAAATTAATGTAAAAAAAAATGTTAGTGAATCAATATCATTATTAAATTAACAGTAAATTATAGAATAACTGTTAACAATAGACGATGCATGATGCTGTTAACTGGTCTCATTCTCAAAAATCTCAAGGCAACAAATGTAGAACTCTGATTGTGCTCTTGTTTCAGCACGGCGATCTCTACTATTCTCTTAGAACTACCGAATTTAAACTTCAACTTTGCAATCGTGTATATTGTCGTTTGTTGATTAGATAAAAAGCGTGTTCACTAGACAAAAAACTGAGGTCTTCTAAACACCCAACAATATTAAAAAGTGTTCTCATCCGTGAACTGAAGGCCCATCCATACTACGCCGTTGGAATTTGAAAACGGAGGTTTCACTCTTAAAGCGCATCAAATGCTTTCCGTCCACACCACTCTGGAGGAATTTAAAAACGCAACAATTAACGGTTATTTTGGATTTGACTGAGGAAACTTCGTTCAGGGAAATCACATGATTGTCGTGACTTCAACGTTTTAGAAGAGCTCCGATTAGTATGGTTGATAAGCTTACTGTAACTGTATAAATATAGCTGCGTTTATAAATTTCTCCGGCGTGGTGTGAATGAGGCCTGAGCTATCAAGATATTTTAACATTTGCTATCTAAAAACCTGTTTGACAGGAGTAACGCAGGCTCATTTGCTGGGCGTCAATAGGGCTGAGTCCGTTTCGTTGACCAATGGTAACCTGCGAAATAAGGCATTGCAATCCTGAGCTGTATAGATTTACAAACAAGTCAATGTTTTAACAAAGGATGTGAATTATTTGCTTTTGTGCACGGTCGTTATGAAAATTTCTCGTTGACTGAGTTTTGGGCTCTTTTTATTGCTCATCCAAACAAAACTTGCAAACACGATGCTTTAAATCACATTAAGAAACAACAACAACAACAACAACAACAGCAACAACAACAACAACAAAAAACACTAGCAAGAAGTGTAAAATGCAAAAATATTTATATTGATTGCTGACGCTGAGAGACTTACACTACGAAAAAAAAAACTTTTGAATACATCAACTGTCCAGTTGAAACCTGACACTTCGCTTAACTTATACTGGAACATAATAATAATAATAATAATAATAATAATAATAATAATAATAATAATAATAACTTTATTATTGTGTCAAAAGGCAGTAGCCAAGGGGAAAAGTCCCCTCTACTAATCGTGGATACCTAAGTAGTAACCTAATTAAGCATTTTACGCCTTTCGTTTAGAAATCACAATTCAGGCTATTTAAAATATGCCCACATGATTGATTGATTCATTGTTATAATGCCCAAGTTTATAACTAAAATGCCGCGTTATAGACATAACCATGGCATATTCTTATCTGCATATATAGTTATAGTCTTTGCCCAATAAAGTTATTGTAAAACTCGGTTACTCACCCCAGGCTTCTTAGGAACAATTGTTGGTTTGTCGTTCTTTGAGAATGATTTTGATCTGTAGTGCATGACAGATCCATAGTCGTAAGGTGTACCGCGAGAATCAATAATATTGGTGCCATACTTTCGGAAGTTGTGTTCTTTACCTGAAAGACAATAGCAATATAACAGGTCAATTTTAAGACTTGTTTTAAAAAGCAATAGGTCGTACATAAACCTTACTTTTCATGTTTAAAATCTTACTTACACAGTGAAATACCTGGTATTGGCATGGATTAACTTGGTTTAACTTGGGTTGAGTTATTCTGGCAACGTACAAAATAGCCTTCAAATTGATGGGAACCTCAAAGTAATAGTAAACTAAGCTAGAAAAACGCCAAAGCGGTAATAATACACCACGAGGGAACAAGGATGATTAAGGATAGCACCTAAACGAAATTACTATCTGAAAAATAAAATTCAGGCTCTCTCTGCTTTGAAGTGTTTTGTGTTATTTTGCTTTCATTAATTACAAGTAATACTTCCAATTGAAAGTGAAGAATGATCATCGCAGTAAATTTTCCAATTTAAGCAATTGGAAAGAANAATTGCTTAAATTGGAAAATTTACTGCGATGATCATTCTTCACTTTCATCTACAACCGCAGTTCAGATATGAATTATTTCAAATATACTTCAATACTTCCAATTCCTACCGTCTCTGATGTTATCCCACATTATCGTTACATAATTGTCTCGATCAGGACGAGATTGTTCATGATAGAAACCAAGCGCGTGACCTGTATACAAAATGAAATTTGTTATTTACAAAGAAAATCAAACACCAGAAATTTGATCGCAAAATTGACGGCATTTGAAAAGTAAATTTTAAAGACGGGCTTGGTACAGAAATAAAACTAATACGAATAGTTCTGCGGTCCAAATTGTTTCTTAGAGTCCACCTAACTCTCCAGTTTGTTTTTGTTTTTTATAACGTCATCAGCAACCCCCGCCTCAGAATTGCTAAATGAGGTCGCGGAACATTTCAAGCGCGATTTTAAAAAGGCATAGAAAATGAAGAATTCAGCCAAATGCATTTTTTTTTTTTTTGGCAGAAATGCTTCGGATAACACAAGCTTCATTTTAGCAAATATAAATTTTGGGGGTCAGGTGCACTTCAAGGGTTTTTTGTCAAAGCACTAATTTTGTAGCGGCAAAATTAAAACGTTGTGGCTGTATGAATTCGATCAAGTAAGGTCAACTCTGTTTGATTTTCACGATATTTATGTGACTGAATAATTGTCTAAAAGTTATTTGTACCGATTTCATGAACCACAATGCCGTGTTTCCAACATCCACTCTTCAATGATATTTGTTGTTGTCCACCTTTTTTGCCCACATGCGACGAACATCTAAAACAAAACAAACAAACAAACAAACACTCACACAGAGCTAACGGAAAGGAGGGGGACAGTTACAATTATTTGTATTTTTCGAGAGTGTTTATTCTTAAGCAATTAGAAGTTTAAGAATTTAGTCTGTTGTTAAGACTATTCCTTGTCTCATATTTGAATCCTACTTTCGGTATGAGCGCTTAATGGAATATGACTCGCTTACTGAAAAAAAAAAAAAAAAAAAAAACCCTCGCTCAATGAGAAGCGCGTAGCGCGTAGCGCTCACTGAAAGGTGAGCGCTGAATCGCATCTTTACCGTAAGCGTGTAGTTTTCTATTGCGCATTCTTTAATAGTTTTTGGTGCTCATAATAGCTCTTTAAGTAATTTATTTTCTTCCTCATCTTACCCCGATCCCTTATAGAATGATACATAATCTTTCTCCGTGGTCCTTTTCTTGAAGCGTACACATGTTTTCTGTTCCCACTCCCGCATGGCACTCCGGATAACCGCCATCGCACTTGACTCTGAACCTGAAAATTAGCCAAAAGTCCTGTTAAATCTGAGAATTTATTGACCTTTTATTTCTCAAAAGGACGACATTTTCTAACGACAATGACAGGAACAATAGAATTTGCGAAGGCACTTCAAGTCGGGGAAAAAGGGAGAGCAGTCCAAAAAACAAACAAACAAACAAAAACAAGAAAGGATAATGCAACGGGAAAAATAAACACTGAACAAGTAAAGGCCGCGCTGCTGCCCGCCTTAGAAAGGATAAAGCACATTATCAGACAATTTCGTCCATTATATCCAATGTATAAACAATGCGTTACCGTATCGTGGGAAATGAAAGAAGCTCACAAACTTACAGAGAGGCTGAGAGATTTTTTCCTTCAGGAAAGGAAAAAAAACGTATTTGCCTTGGAAAATATATATTAAGAAAATAGTTTAATGTGGTATTCGGTCGTCTCATTGCAACACAAACTCACCCGACTACAGTAATCTGCTTTCACTGTAAAGAAAATATTCATCGTTTATACTAATTAAAAAGCCGAAGGAAGGTAGAGCTTTCCCGAACCAGCGGCTAAACCGATAAAAATTTAGGTGGTGTGTTTTTTTTTCTTAAGTTACAAGCGTTTAGAGTTCATTTATATTGGTTATAGGTGCAACCACCGTTATCTTTGTTTGCCATCAAAGCGGCGAATACCTGGAAAATTCGTGGAGCTCCGTACGGCGCGCAGTGGAGAGTGCCCACAAATTTTGTTCTATATGTTTTTACATTGGTGTTGGTACTTTTGAGTTATCCCAGGCTCGATCCTAGACCAGGTGCCACATTTGCCACATGTCACGCATCGCATATTCCGGAGTTTGGCAGCAGGTTTTGAAATATAACTCCGACAAACTATGACAAAATATAATTGTTAAACCTCTGACATGTTGAAGAGAGGTGAAACTTTTGCATGTAAAAAGTTCAACTTTTTGGAATAAAAAACAGTGTTTTGCCGGTCAGCGTCCAACATTTATAGGTAAATTTCAAAGTCTTAAGGTAAAATAGCCTGTTTTGAGCTCATATTGAAAACCATCTCGCCAAAAATGAAAAAATATATATATACATTCGAGCTGACCCAAATAAATATGATATTTGACATTGGATGTAATTGTCGACTTTCTCTGAAAAAATGGGGCCAATTGGTGAAGGTCGCAAATTTACCTTATCCGTTCTTATGCGACCAGCTTCAAAATATGTACATGGGAAGTTACAGATATGTCGCTTTTTCTGCTATCGAATGTGGAGGGACAAGGCTAAAATGTAGTATTTTTCCAGGTCTATTACACTTCAAGGAATGAAATCAGCTGCAAAAGTTTATTTCGCAGACTTGCTTGTGTTGAATTGAGTACGTTTACCTGAATCTAAATTTTACTAGGGTAGCTTCTTTTATCGCTGATAGTCGATCGCGCGCTAATATCTTCTTAAAATAACAAAGGCCTCTATTAAAGTATGGTCTACAACTCGCCTTATTTCGAAAACAAGCGCGAGCACAGTGACCCTCCTCCCC